ATAGCAGTCAAAGAAGGAGAGCAACTAACTCCTAAAATAGGGCTGGAGGATGAACTTCTACAGGAAATGGGTACCTAGGGAAATGATCACGTTTTCTGGTATTTTTGTCATTTGGTGATTAGTATTAGCCTCTGTGGCAGTTTGAATCCACCGACTCTACAGGAGAAGGAGGGGGAATCGCCTCCTCTGTGATTAACTACTTCTGAAAACCTGCTGGAGGGTCAGCTATAGATTGGTTCCAACTTGATGGTACACAACAACAACAATAACAATAGAATAGAAACAGCTATTGTTTTTGATCTGATGTTACTGCTCTTTTGGTACCTCTTTTTTAAAAGAAATTATTTTAGTGATAGTATTGAATTTCTGGTGAGAATACCTGAGTGTGTCCACGAGAGTGAGTAACCTGCTTCATGATCTGTGAACAGTTGAATGACAAGTGCAGCCCACACTAAATGGGGAAGGCAGAGTCTTGGCATCGTGGCCTATCACAAATGAAGAGCCATGAGTCTTCAGTGTTCTGTCTCACTCTTTAAATTAATAGACTAGTTGCATTTCTTTGGTAAAAAAGAGAAGATTGAAAATTATTTTGATTGTTTACTTTTGACAGAAAGTCGATTCCTTAAAGTGAAAACATTTTTAAACATTATATCCAAATAAAAAAGTTAAAGATCCTAAGGCAGGATTGTGTGGGGCTTTTAAAAAGGGTGCGTGTGTTGTTTTAACAAGAACATTCACAATATAAGAGAGAAATGGTGACCGCTGGGACTCTTAAGCTCTTAACAAAAAGTACCTTGTTCTCATATGTTAAGAACTAGAATATCCTACTGGTTAATAACAAACTGGGCAGGGGAATGAAGCAGATGAGTGATGGCTGTGCTTAAGGTGTGCTGGCCAGGAATCGAATGTGGGTGTCATGCCTAGAAGGTGAGACTTCTGCCACTGAGTCACCATTGTCCTCTTGTAGAGATTTACTAGAAATAGAATCATGAAGCTAAAGGCATACCTGGTCTTACACTAGTCACATACTATAAGGTAGAGCTTCAGCCCTCTGATGGTCAACACTGTGGCCCTGAAGCTTGAGGACATTCGGAAAGGCCTGTTTGTGCAAATGAGAGGAAGGTGCCATTTAGTCTTTGGTTTGGTAGAGCCCCTGCTGTTTGAAGTGTTTTGCTTGCTAGTAACTTTAATGTCTCCTCCCTTGTAACTGTCATCATCTTCAGTGAAACAGATGTAATTCTAACCTAATGCTCCCCCACCCCCTTTTTTCTCTGATAGCTGAAAGGGTGAACCATGGAGCTGTATTTCGGTGAATATCAACACGTGCAGCAAGAATATGGCGTCCACCTGAGACTTGCAAGTGATGAAACCAGAAAAGCAAGGAATTCCCAGCACTCTAAGGCAGGCTCCTACGGTGTCAGTATTAGGGTGCAGGGGATTGATGGCCATCCCTACATAGTCCTGAATAACACAGAACGGTGTCTGGCAGGCACCTTTTCTGAAAACGGGCCATTGTTTCCATCTCCAATGATAAACAACCTGCCGCTACATTCCAGCAACGGGTCTGTGCTTGAGGAGAATGAGGACGAAGAATTGGAACTGCCAGAAAACCCATATGCCCCACCCAGCCCCATAAAGAACTTGAAGCAAGCCACTCTGTATGAGGGCAAGAACGGGGTTCTAGAACACAGGGACAGGCCAGTGAAGCCGTCTCACATGCTCAACTTCCAGAGGCACCCGGAGCTTCTGCAGCCCTATGACCCAGAAAAGAATGAGTTGAACTTACAAAAGCACCAGCCTCCTGACAGTAATTGGCTAAAAGCTTTAACAAAAGAAGGCACCAATGATAAGAAGCCTTGGACGTGCTTTCCCAAATCTAGCAATTCCCAGCCACCCACGAGTCCTCCCCTGGAAGAACAGACAAAATCTAGTGTGACAGCGATTCGTTTATGCAGCTCTGTGGTCATTGATGACCCCAAGAAGCAGACATCAGTGTGTGTAAATGTTCAGAGCCATACCAAGGAGGGGACAGCTGAGGAGGTCCTTTCGCCTAGTGGAAGGCTACTCACTACACATGGACCTCACAGTCACCCCGAATCCAAGAAGACAAGGCCGGATGTTCTTCCCTTCCGAAGACAAGACTCAGCTGGCCCAGTTCTGGATGGATCTCGGTCACGGAGGTCTTCCTCATCTTCCACGACTCCCACTTCGGCCAACTCCCTGTACAAATTTTTACTTGATGACCAGGAATGTGCCATCCATGCTGACAATGTGAATCGTCATGAAAATAGAAGGTATATCCCGTTCTTGCCAGGTACTGGGCGGGATATTGATACGGGATCCATTCCTGGTGTGGATCAATTAATTGAAAAATTTGATCAAAAGCCTGGGCTTCAGAGAAGAGGAAGATCTGGGAAGCGAAATAGAATCCATCCAGACGATAGGAAACGTTCTAGAAGTGTGGATAGTGCCTTTCCGTTTGGTCTCCAAGGGAATGCAGAGTACCTGAGTGAATTTAGTCGGAACTTGGGGAAGTCCACAGAGCACCTCCTGCGACCCTCCCAAGTGTGCCCTCAGAAACCGCAGGAACACCGTGGGAAGCACAGTGGGGGCCGAACCTTCGCAAAGCTGCAGGGGGCCACGCAGGGCGCTCAGTGTGTGTCCCCGAGACCGCTGCAGCAGAACAAAGATGGGAAAGTTCAAGAAAACAAAGGTAGTCAGGAAAATACAGTGATGTGTACATCCTCCCTCCCAACACAGAACAAAAAGGAGGAGGAAATAAAAACAGCCACAGCAACGCTGATGTTACAGAACCGGGCAGCAGCCGCTTTGCCTGATTCTGGTGCCAAGAAAATATCAGTGAAGACATTTCCTTCCAACCCAAATACTCAGGTAATGCTAAAGTGATCCCCCTTCCCCACCAAGTGATTGAAATGACATACTCATGTAGTGTGTGTGTATTTTATGGTGGCGTAGAGTGCAGGGAATTGGGTGCTAACCCAAAGGCTGTGTCTCTCTGGCAGATTGAACCCACCTGCTGCTCCTTGGAAGATGAGCAGTCTCCTCCACTGTAATTTACAGCCTTGAAAGTGCATTGGAGGCTTAGTTGTCAGTAGGTTCTGACTTGATGGCAATGTGAGAAAAACAAACAAAAAAACAACTCATGTTGCTGCAACCCATGGGAATACATATTTAATCATTGGTTTTTAATCAGACTTTTTCTTCTTCTTAAGGGTTTTACTTTCCTGACAATTGTGTGATTTCCTGGTTGTTGAGTCAGTTCCTACTTGAAATGAACTCTGTTACCAGAGTAACTGCCTCGTTGGCAAGATTCTATTGGAGCAGATTGCAGGTCTTCTCTTTGACGCAGCCATTGGTGGGTTCAAACCACCAACCTTTCAGTTAACAGTCAAGTACTGGACCACTGTGCTATCAGTGTTCCTGTATGGTTTCCTAGATTAAATCACAGGATAAGACTTCCATTCTGATCTTTGTAAAGTAACTGTTTGTACCATTGGAATGGACTTGGTGGCAGTGAGTTCTGGGTTATGTGTTTGAAACTTGAAAGTACAAAGAATTTCTTTGGAGCTTTAGTACTTAGTTTATATGGATATACAGATTTTCTTCATGAAATGGAGTGATCGGATTAATTTCTGGGCTGAGAAATTAGGTTAGTCCTAATTTAGGTGTACCCTAAAGTGACGAAATTTAAGTGGCAGGTTGAGTGAACTAGTGGTAATAAGAGTGATAATGACAAAAAATAATTTTGGTTAGGCACTATTTGTTACTATTTCGTACTATTTGCAACTCATAAAAATAGGTTCTATAATTGCCAGTTTACAGGTGAGAAAAAGGTATGTCGCACAGCTCATAAATGATAGAGTTGGTTGTCATTAGGATCCTAACTTGAAGTATCATTTCTAGAAAGCAGGAATATGTGAGGAATTCTGTGCTTCCGGGTTTCGCCTTCTTCTTGGGAAGGTGGTCTTGATGTCCTAACACCTTGTACGATTGCTTTGCAGGCCACACCGGACCTGCTGAAAGGCCAGCAGGAGCTCACTCAGCAAACCAACGAGGAGACTGCCAAGCAGATACTGTACAATTACCTCAAAGAAGGGTTAGTGACTTTCCTTAAAGGAACAATATATTTTAATTCCTGGTGATGTTCCTAATCTCCTCCTCTGAGGCTTTGCCTCATTTCCTGTCCTGAGTATTTTGTGGAATTGGCTGGCATTTCTGTCACACCATTTAAGTTGGGGGTGGGGGTAGAGTGGGGAAGGGAGTATAGGGAATACTTTATACATTTAAAATGAAAAAAAAAA